TGTGTGTGTGTGTGGCGAACGAGGATGATAAAAAACATATGTTTGCTCTTTACAGGACAAAATAAACACTTTTCAAATTAAATGTGTAGTGGAGGACAGCTTCACTCTGCACCACGCTACAGTTGCACATCTTCCATCTTCTCCTCACACGTTCGTATGTGGGTGTACCGTAATGCTCCATTCTGCACATGTTGGTAAATGAGTGTGAAAATGATCACATAAGTAATTTCTGGCAAGGATGCAGACATGGTAAAAAAAAATGGCACATTGAATGTACAGCATTGTACCTTGTTAAGTTGATCACACCCAGCCAGCTCCCCCGGCTTTGCTTATTACTCATCCCTTTAATAGAAGCTGTTCAATTTTGTAAACTAAACAGTCTTTTGCCCATTTTCTTTCTGCTTTCGTTGGTCAATTCTGAACTTGGGTTTTTACAACATTACACAAAAATGTTTTTGTAGCCACTACTAGACAGCATACACAGTGGTCTGTAAAGACCAGTGGGGGAAAGTAACTAAGTACATTTACTCAAGTACTGTACTTAAGCAGTTTTAGTTTGTAGTTGCTTTTAAGATGAAGATTTCTCACAGTTCATAATATAACAAGCTTTTATAATACAGCACATTGAAGTGGAAACCAGTGGTTTACAATCTTTTTGGCTTCTGATGTCTTACAAAAATCCCTGTGTAGTTGGGGTCACAGTTCAGATGTTTACAGCTCCACCAAATACACAGCATAACAGGTAGCACATTTACTGTTTATGTAGATTTTTACTGTATAGGTGAAACGAAGTTTAACAGTTTTAGCTTCACTCTTTTGCAAAATGTCATAGTACTGCCCACCACTCTACATTGCACCCTACATGCACTCCTTACTTTGTAGGTTTTTAGGTTAGGTTTTTAGATTTGAAAATGGACATAGTCTTTTAATTTATTAAAAGAATAAAAAATACAACTTACTCCCATCCATGCTGAGCGATAGTGAGCAGCAGGCGCTCATCATCTCCATCAGACTCAAGACAAACAAACAAGAAGACAAAAGCTTCCTGATTTAGGAAAACTAGTGATCAGCCCAAAGTTAGCTGGATAACCCACTTAACTCACGTCATGGTACAGGCCCGTGATCTTGAGGTGATATTGACATATTATTGACGTGAATGTTATGTTGTCTTTGACAGGTACAGTTGTTCGAAGAGACTGTACACCACAGTCAGGCACACGTTGCAGCCTCTGTAACAATGGGACTTTCATGAATCAACCCAATGGCCTGAATAAGTGTTTCCCCTGCACCTCCTGTGTCCCAGGTACAGTCAGATGAAAGGTCTTTAGTAAAATTAAGATATTTAACTAATTAAAAGTATGTTCTTTAATTAGAAGGCAAATCAATTGCTGTATGTTTTAATAAAGATAATTATCTAAATCAGTCTTTCACAAAGAGTGATCCGCAGGCCACCAGTGGTCCACAGGTGACCCCTTGTGGTTAGAGAGTAAATTTCTTAACATACCATCATCGTTGTTTTAAGGCTCAGTGTGTGAATACAGGCTGTGTGCACTTCTCTGTAGACTGAGCACTTTGATACTTGGTCTTAAAAAGTTTGAGAAACCCTGATCTAAGTTTAAACATAAAATAATGACAATAATGATGTTTATTGTTTTTTTTAGCTCATGGTGTCTTTGCCCAGCAGAAGTGTACGGTAACAACCGACACAGTTTGTGATGTTTTAAGTGGGTATTTCTGCAGGAGTCTGGCCAACGATACAGGATGTAGTTTGGCAGAGAAACACACACACTGTGCACCTGGTCAGAGGATAAAAGAACCTGGTAAGAAAAATGAAAGTGTGACTAGTCTGACAGTGAAGCCTCTGATTTTCCCGGTCTGATAAATGATGGATTTTCACTGGATGTTGGGTTGTTGTGTAATGAAC